TTTGTATCAATCATAAGTGGTACGTTACCGCTCAAAAATTAAAAAAAAAAAAACTTTGAATGAATGATATGTCGTACTTTACAATTAAAAATATATATTTATTTTTGAATCAATGATATGTCGGACTTTACCGTTCAAAAAAAAAAAAAATTGAAACAATGATAAGTCGTTTGTTATCGTTCAAAAAAGAAAATATTTTTGTTCAATGATATGTCGGACATTACCGTTAAAAAAAAAAAAAATTGAAACAATGATAAGTCGTTCATTACTGTTAAAAAAAATATATTTTTGAATAAATGATAAGTCGTATGTTACCGTTAAAAATTTCTTTTTTATTGAAACAACACGTGCACTCAACTCAACGTATGTGAATCGTGCGCAAACCGAGCCGATTTTAGGATAACTTTTAAATTGAATGAGAATAATATTATTACCAATTATAATTCACTATAATTGGTATTAATTATATATTTAAAATAATAATTTACCTAATTATAATATACCTGGATATATTACATATAATATATGTAATTTTTAAATATTACTAATTGAAATCGCATGTTATTATTTGTATTCCATGAGTTATAATTCGTTAATATATGTATTATTGGTCAATATTATTAATATTTTATAATACATATACTAAACGAACTATTAATATTCATAATATTATATTATTATAATATATTGTTAAACCAATATGTATAGTAACTAAAATATGCTATAATAAAATTTATATACAATTTGGCTTTAAAATTATAATTATAATAATAATTTATAAGTTTATGTTTTATATAACCGGCTATCATTATAATCATTAATAGTAATCTTTACGTAATTGTATGGGCAATTATTAATAATTATTATATTTAATTATATACTATGTTGATAATCATATATTTATAATTATATAATATCAATTATGTCACTTAAATAACATTAATGTTATATGAATGTAAAACGGCAGAATGTTATACTAATTTATTACGCATACAAATTAATTTTTAATACCTACATAATTGATACAATTGTAAACCGTTTGTGCGCAAATACCTAGGGGCCGTTTAGGTACTTGAAAATTTATCACAAGAAACATATTATAAGGAAATATGAGAATTGGGTACACTTCAACCGTAACAAAATGGAAATAAATTATACAACATTTTCCAAAAATACGTGAAATCAATTACCCTTGGAATAGCTGTGAAATCCATCACCTGTGAGCTGTGAAATCCATTACGTGCTTAATGTGTCTTGTACCTAAAAAAAATCACCTGTGAGCTGTGAAATCCATTATGTGCTGTGTCTTCTACCTAAAAAAATCCTCTATTTTCTTCCATTCTCCTTCTCTTCTATGCCCATCCATTCTCCCCCATTCTCCATCTCTCCTAAACACTTCCATTTCTACTTTCTCTCTCTAAATTTCATTTATAAGTGGTCCATTCGCCCATCCATTCTCTCCCATTTTTCCTCTCTCTGAACACATGCATTTTTACTTTCTCTCTCTAAATTCCACTTATAAGTGGTCAATTCTCCCTCCATTCTCTTTCTTACGTGCATTCATTTCTACTTTCTCTCTAAACTCTACTTACAAGTGTTTGTACTTACTACGTATATCCATTTCTACACTATCGTACATCAATTTCTACATCCATCTATCTCCAATTTGGGTTATAGCAAGCCATCAACACTCGTATAAAATAAATAATAATATAAATAATAATTGGTAATCAATGAGAAAGTATACTACACAAACATAATAAAAAATTTTACACAACATAATCCTCATAAGAGATTAGTAAAAGCCCAATTGCAATAAGATACATCTTTAGTCTCCTCCAATGCCTTTCTACTGTAATTACCAAACCTTCTAGTTTACTAATCAAATTCCTTCCCATTTTTTAACTACTATAAACGATTTTT